GTAATCATGAGGACTTTTGGCCTTATGTACAGGCTTAAACATGCACAAAAATAATTTAGTCCAATGCTTAGAAACAGCATTATTAATGAAGACATTAAATATAACTGACTATAATATTATATTAAAAAAGAAGTCAGGTACATGAGGAAATGTACATGCTACAGCTGAACCAACAAGAGGAAATTACAGGGGCAGATTTCTTTCACTGTACATGATTTCCCTGAAGGTACCCAATTTAGCTAAACCATCAGCTGTAGTATTTAATTCTCTGGAAATCCAGATTAAATTTACAGTCATGGTGTTCAGAATATCTCTGGCTTCGGTCAAGTAATGAACTAGCCTCCAAGGGCCTCCCTCCTTCTCCCCTAACCATCTTATTGTATTTGCAGAGTCTCCTTTAATGGTTAGAGCAGACCAGCCCTTCTCTTTAGCAATTCAAAGACCTGTGAGTGCAGCCAGGATTTCTGCTTTTGAAGAATCAGCCACCCTGATTGTGCCTTTCAGATGTTTAATCAAAAATACTGAATGAGGAATGACCACTCATCTGATTAGTTTCAGATATAAGTGTCAATGTTTTTGATTTATAAATGACACCTAGACACATTCTTTATGATAGAATCTACCATCATCTGTCTGAAATATCTCCAGATACTTCACCAAGCGGATGATTTTGATGTAACAACTCAATTGTAACCTGAAATATTACTTTTCTTTTTCTGGAGTATCTTAAATTACCCTCTTACCAAATCTACCAAAACACTGCATGAGATAAGCATAAAAACCTGCCCTGAGAATGGGTTGGAGGGGGGAGGGCTAGAGATATCTTTATGACATAAGAAAAACTACATAAAGCTCTCATCACTTTATCACAAATATTCCATGGAAGGCAGCTTTGGAAAATGTGGAGTGCAATTTCATTAAAGCATACAGAAATTTCTGATTTAAGATATAAATCTAATACATATGGAAGGAACATAGAAAGATGATGCTTGTGTTGAAATAAACCTTACAGAGTAAAATTTAGTGAGTAAAATTGAGGTTCAATTTTTACCCATTTTTATTTTGTTTCATTTGGTTGCGGCAGAAAAAGAAAAATAGATAGGTTTCATATGTGGGTTCCACCTGCAGGTCCCTTGTATGAACCCCACATGTTGGCCCCATGCATGGGGCCATCATAAGTAAAAGTATACAAGAGGTAAGAAAGAATTACAGCCTCAGCACCAAACAAAGTTACATTGGAAACAGAGCATGAGCAATAAAAGAAATTGCATGATTATCTCAAAAGTACTGACTTTTTTTTTGTACTAAAACACCTATACATGTCCTACACATTAGGAGTATTTGGATCTTCTTTTCGTTGGTTACCATATAGAGCATGTGGAAGGAAAGGGTCAAATAGCCAAAGGCAAATCTAATTCTATAGACATCACAAAAGAAAAAAAAAAAAAAATAGTGGGGTAATAATAGATAATAGAATCATCTGGAGCCCATTGCAAATGAACTCAAAGTAGTAAACTAATACAGCTTAGTTTTTAGATTGGAACTCCATTGTCTATGGGGATCTGCAGAACTCTTGAAGTACATGACCAAATCAAGTCCATGGTGGTTTCTAAGAAAACTATACGTTGATCAGTTTTTATTATTTTGTATGTATGATTGTGTGTATGTGTGTATAGTAAATTTTCTTCAATAATGAAATGTACCTATGGTAGTATTTACATAGATTACAGCAGGTAAGYTGGCATCAGCTACCTAATCCCTTTATGCTTATTAAAGCCCCTTACATGATTTCCTCCCAAAACAAGGCATCCCCATTTACTCCTTGTCTTGCAAGTCTGCTACAGTATTAGCTTTTTATTGACCCAATTGCAGTCCACACCTAACCAATTGTTAACCTCTCTCACCACATGTTGATGCTGCCATGTTCATTGGCCTCCTGCTTTAGTTYATTTCTTCTTTTACCATTTTAACCTTCCTATTATAACAAAGGTTTTAGTTAATATCATGGACAATGGGCAAAAACATGTTGCCAATGTCTAAACTGGACCAACTCTAAAAAGGCCAATACCCACTGTTGGTYCCAGCTATCTGGGGTATTCGTTGCACAAAGTGGCAGCCCCCAGGCTC